ATTGACCAAATTACTTCTTTCAATTAATTAACCTTATTATGTACGGTTTTTGGTTGAAATGAAAAAGCTAGTGCCACCGGCCGGATTCGAACCTACGACCTTCGGCTCAATACGCCGCTTCTCTACCACTTGAGCTATCGTGACTTCGATCCACTCGGATACCAACACCGCCATCTCAACCTATAGCCTTTCGAATTTTGCCTCCTTTTTGCCATTTTTACAGAAGTACGGGCAGTCGAGGATCTTCCTAGCGAAGGGTGCCCCGGCTTGGTCAAGAACCCGAAAGCGTAACGAGGGTAAGCTGCTCTCTCCGATGTTCGGAGGCAAGACCTCCAGCTCGCAGCACAGACTGGCCAAGAGGCTGGTCCTGAACGTTTTCGAGATCGCTTTGAGACCTGATAGTAGAGCTTATCTGGTAGATCTTCGAACAAAGCAGCTAGTCAAACATTTTTAACAGGGTCACTCTGTGCGCTCCCCATCTAAACTGACCAACAAATTTCAACAGCGCGAGGGTTTTTCTGCTCTGGATACTGGCAGCGTCTGTGTGTGCCTGCCATCTCAACTTCTCATCAACCAGTAGGCTGAGAAACCAATCGGTTCGACGTACCGCACAAGTGTGCCACGCAGCCACAGTTGAGAGGGGCTATGGTCCCTCCTCAATCTGCAAAAGCAGGCACACAACGTTTCCGGTATGCGATGCATCTGAGTCCTAATTTGGGCCCTACAAAAGTTAGGCACAAGCTCCCTTCCTCCGCCGGTTCCTTGCAGCGTTAATTTTTGGCGCTTCCAGGTTAGCCCTCGCCGAGGCGTCCGGTCTGTACTCTTGGGAAGGGCATGAGGTTTGTTTTCTTGCTTGTAAGCCTGACTCGGAACATACGGTTCTCCAAGAAACTCCGGAGAAACCTGACAAATTATCTTATTATGTTTTTTTATTAGGTTCCAAGGAAAAATAAATAAATAGAAAAATAAACATAATAATAGTTTTATTAGTTAACTACAACATAATCGCGAGGTGATAGGACAGCCTCCCTGGTGGCTATGTTGTATGGATTTTGTTGTTCATCAAAGTTTATAGTTGCAAGACATTTTGGTGTTAATCAATTTAGTTGATTATTACTTTAATTTAAAAGGTTTGTTTGTGTGTAGATAGAACTAATTGTAGAAAATTAACGTATGAAAAAGCACTTTGTGTAATTTTGTTTTTAACTTTAAAGAAGTTGAAAAAAAATTTTTTGTCGCGAGTGAAGTACCGACCACCGTCGAGCACATTTTTAACGCGGTATAAATAAAATGATCTTATTATGGAGTCGCATAAGGCTTAAAAGCGAGAGCAACAGTTTCAGACCATATTTCGTTTTTTGCTGACATATTATATGCAGCATTAATAACAAGAAAAAGCACTCCCGGGCCCAGGCGTAATCTCCCTTTTAAATAAAATCCCCGGAAATTAAATGCCATTACGATGAAATAAAAGAAAAGGCGTTTAGAGAGGCAATAGAAATATTTTATTTGAATAATTTTCCTAATCGTTAATTGTAGACTTGAAGGCCGTATTGCTACTTAATTAACAAAAGTCAATACTTTATTGTTGGACGATTTATGGTATGCGATGTTGTTAGCAAAGTACACGGTTTGAGGGAATTCCTAATTGTTTTGCGAATCGTTCATTCCCTAACCAAGGACCTGGCCTTCGCTATTTGACTTGCTAATATCTTCTCCTTCCCACTACGAATAACCTTATAACATCAGAACCCTGAATATATTCCTGACCACTGCTTCCTCGCCACAAATCTCACTCTTCACCTTATTTACAGGACTTTTATTAAATTTTTCAAATATTAAATTGAGATAAATGCCCATTTCATGCATAGATTCCCTCCCGGACCCTAAAAACATTTTCCCATGATTTTATAACGGCTTGAAATTTATAGAGACTACAGATCATTATTATACCCATAGTTAGTTTAAAATATTTTTCTTTGACTTCTCGTAGTGTGCACCATTCATAACACCCTAATAAATACGCTTATGGATAAATTTGTCCACTCACTTTTCATAGTTTGAAATGAAATAAATGATCTTTTTTTCTTTACGTGATTTAATCTTTTGGAAAAAAAACAGGAGTTATTATTGCAAACACACAATGGACACTGACAGTGGACACTGTTTGGGTGAGGGTTATAGTAGTGTTAAATTAGGAGTAGGTTAGGTTAGAAATGGCCATATAGGATTACGTTAGGGTTTTGTAGCATTAGGGACGATTTAGGATAGTTTGGAAATGGTAAAGTTAGATTGGATTAGGTTTAGGTTGAGCTGTGTTAGGTTAGATTAGAAATAGAGTTACGTTAGAGTTTGTTTTGGATTAGGGACGGTTTAGGTTAACTATGAATGATAATATGAATATGTGGTATAAAATTGGTTAAATAGAAGTGGTATTGTAGATAGGCCTAGGTAAGGATTAGTAAGCTTTGGTAGGATTATGTTGGGTTGAAATTGTAACGTTGCGTTAGGTTAAGTGTTGGTTGAGTTTGGTTAGGGACCCGTTAATTTAGGGTAGTAATACTAGTGTTTGGTTTGGTTAAGTTAAGGTTAGCGACGTGATAGATTTAGGATAAGATGATAGAGTTAGGTTGGGTTGATTTAGGGTTAGGGGCGGGTTAGATTAAGATAAGGACGGTAATGTTAGGTGAGGAAACGAGCTAGTTGAAGATTAGATAGGATTATTTGTGATAAGTATATAAACTGCGCAAAAATGAATAGGGATATTTGTAATTTATTCTTATTCTATTAATTTTAATATTATGTTATTGTTAGGTTGATAAACAAAATAGAAAATAGAAACCAAAAACAAAAAATTATTAAATCTCGTTTTTAATATTGGCTTTACTTAAGAATAGAAAACATGAAGATTATGCCATTATTATCTTGTACTTCATTCAGGATCTGGTGGGCACTATGGAAAGGGTTCCGCCGACTGCGGTGACTCATTCTCACAATAATATTGCAAACTTCTGGTTCAATATGGTGTCTTTTTATGGTTATAGAGAACAACTGGATTAAATGGAGAAAAGACGAGAAAAGGTGTTTGTTTAGAAAACGACTAATCTTCTTGTTTACTTTTGTATGTTTTTTTCCGAGAGGTCGCAACAGCAGAGGTCATATCAACCCTCAGGGTGCAGGTGTTCTTTAAAAAAAAAAATCCCATTTGTAATTAATTTCGGGTTCCAATGCAGGGCCGCTGGATTCGAACACGGGACCTTTACTTTACAGTGATGAGCGCCGTGTGAACGCGTAAACCGTTTCGGCCACCGACGCCCCACTCATGTTTACTATTCTCAAGTAAATCCGTTATTAAAAATGAGGATTAACAATTTTTAATTTGTGGTTTGTATTTTCGATTTTGTTTTATCAACCTAACAATAACATATCGGTTAATTTAATTAAAATTAATCGACTAAGAATAAATTACAAAAATTTGTATTCACCTGTACGCAGTTTATTTTAAAATTAAAAGTTTTAAATTAACTTTAAAAAATAATGGTTTTTTTATTACTAGCACATGCATTCATGCACTTGCATCCCGACAAGTCTAAACCGTTTAAATAGTTAGATATTTTAGTCTGTAATGTGCGGTGGCCCTAAGGGACGGGTAGGTTTAAGTTAGGAATGTAATATTAGGTAGGGTAAAATACAGGTTTAGATTATGCCAGGGGTTTTATTTTTCTTTTGTTTTTTCTTTAGTTGATGTAATTTGGTTTAATTTTGGCTTGATGTTCATGTTAAGAAATGGGAATATATTCTGCAAGATTTTGTGAATTTTTTTTTTCCCGAACAATACAAAGACGTTTAAATCATTTGATTCTTCCATAATGAGGAAATGCTCTATTCTGAACACAAAGAAACTTGATTTCCTTGATCTTCCCTTTTAAATATTTATGTAAATTCATTAATAATTTATAATTTGATGAAATTTCGTTTTTCAACGATTAGTTTTTAAAACTTAGACTAGTTTTTAGACAGCCAAATCGACTCCACAATTCTAAGCAATGAAAGGTCTAGATTTAGTTTTGTATCAAATCGAGCAATATATGAGCAGGTATGGGCAGCTCATGGGCAAATGACCGATTCTGAATAATATGAGATTGATCATCCATATAAAAAATCAGATCATTTATGGCCGCAAAATTAATATTACATTATTAAACGGCGAATTTCATTTTTTTATAACTTCTTTCTACGTTGAATATTGGAGTCTATTTATAGTCCAAGTCTTTCCAGGTTAAATCAATGCGAAGGTAAACTGAAACTGCATGCTCGAGTCTTCCGACTGTCATCCGTTACGACTGGTAACCAAAAACCAAAGGCTTTCTAATTAATTAGAGACTAAGTTCAAACTAACGGATTCCTTTGTCAAATATACACTTAAGGTTAGTGTTTTTTTTCCGAGTTAGGTTGTGTTTTGTAAGCAAAAATAAATTTATTTTACGGAGAAGAATGGTCGTGATTCTCTCATTTCCTGCCTTATATTTTTAATAAATAAAATTATTTTTGACGGAAGAGAGATACAGAGAAGGCAATGTACGTAAAAGCTATACGAAATGTGTACCATTTTCTAACTAAAACACGGGGTATAAATACAAAAAATTTTTACTGGATATAACAACGATTAGAATTCTGGACAATTGCATAATGTGGTGGCAAAAACTAGAGACGGGAAGAACCTGTTTTTAAGGATCGGATCAATATCGCACACTCGGAGAATTGACTCAGCTATTTTTCGTGTCACACCACTCGCACTCACCAAATTTATATTACCGGTAACTCCGTGAGTAACACACTAACATCAATCTGGGGTATGGGTATAAAGAAGAGTCAAGCCCACTACGGGCCAACTTGTTAGGTGGTAGCTGAAGTAAGGGAGGCTATCATCATCAATGACCCCCAGGAAAAAATCGCTTAGATTCCCTCTCTCGATTATTATTGTAATTTATTTTAATTACCTGTAAATTGGCTTCACGTCGTTTTTGTACCAAACCACTAGAAGAACGCTGTCGTTGACCAAGGGCGGTTTGATGTCGCAGGGAAGATGCGCAGTCCCTTTAGTGACGGATTGAACCTCGAGAACAGGGCCTGAAAAACCAAAAATAACTATGACGATGTTAATTTATTCAAATATATAGATTTTTAAAACTAAAAGTTACAATTTAAGATCTAAAGTTATTTAACCGTCAACTACAACACAACTAGAAAGAAACCGTCCGCCAGAAGAACAATACGTAAATCAAAAGGAGTAAAATCAAGAACCAGAACGGTTGTAATAAGACGTAAGATATTTGACTCATTAATTCGGTGGACTAAAGTTCAAGAAAATCAACCTAATTGAAAATTAGGTAGCAAAGATTCAAGAAAATTACATGGGCAATGATAACAACCCCAACAGCTGCATTTCAAACACTATGAAATCCCAATGAGAAACATAAATACAAAGAGAAGCTGGTACAAGCTCATACAGACTTCAAACATTGGTCATACAACAATAACAAATAAAACCTCAATAAAAATAATAACATTTTGTATTTACGAACTATCTATACGACCGCCGAAATAACAATAATAACGAATGAATAGATGGGGCTTCCAAAATTTCCGCACCAACCTCTCCTCTACTAACTCTACTGTTTAACTCGAAACTTGCCCAAGCCGCCTCCAATCTCCAGGAACGTTTTGAGTCAGGACAAATTTTCCCAATTTAACAGACATTTAGGCAAGGTAAAATTAAACAAACTGACGAATTCCAACACAAAACTGAACCCATAAAAACTAACCAGACAACTACGAAGAGTTGTAGGACCGAAATACGTTTTTTTCCACAACGTCTCAATATGTGCTCAAAATATATAAACGTACATCCGGGAGTGTAGTTGGATGGCTTTATTTTTTTCCCCCGGGGACGGTTATCGACCCTTCGACTCCTCTTCGCCCTCATCTATACTGGCAAACTCACTGCTACCATTAGACAGTTAAATTCAGAGGAGAGGACTATCAACCGGTCACTGGTATCTGAGAGAACACGTTCACAACTTGGGCATATTCAGTGACGACTCCATGCAATGAAGATGAAGAAACAACCACCTATATCATCTTCAATTACAAAGCAACCACCCAATGGAGACATAACCTGAGATGCAAAGAAAACCCAGGAATTGTGTCAACGATAGTCATTGACCTAGAACTTATTAGGTGAAAGATCGACTCGATTGTACTGAATTAAGGAACTAGGAAAATGCAACAAGCCAGAAAGGTACAGTGCCTGGGGAACAAAAACGCCCACTTCCTCGTATCCATCATCATCATCCTCGCCCATTAAAACTTCACAAGCGTGTATTACTTATTTACTGAACGTGTTTCTTAGTCTCAACAGCCCTATTTTTATTAAATGACCTCAACAAAACATTCTGAAATATATGTTTCACCTTTCATCAAAATTTCATTAATGTCGAATCGAAATTATTTTAGATTTTTAATGAAAGATTAGTTCATAGAATATATAGTTACTGTTGAATAAAAGAAGGTAAAATGTTTCAAAAAGCTAATTGCCCATTTTGATTAATTCCAGTGGGATTACTTAAGAATTGATTTTATTAATATCAGCTGTGAGTGACCTAACCTGCTAACGCTAATAGTTCCTAGCCTACCCTAACCAAATCCATATACACTCACCCATAACGGGAAGTAGATGACGCGGAAATGATAACGTAAACAAATTTGTCTATCCAACGTACACACGTATACGTTAAAACAACTATTAAATTATTATTATTATTTTTAATAAAAAAAAAGGTTTTTAACCTACATTTTAACCTATTTCCCTCAGTAATTACGCTAAACAACACCCGAATATACTAATTGCGTTGTTATTATTAGCCTGTTGCTCAAATTGTCAATTATTTTATGGATGTTATTATATTAGAGGAATTCCCATAAATACTCTCTTATTATAAATCCCCCGTATTTTGCAAAATTCACTCCGTTGTAACGAACACGCCCGATTCGGTTGAAACACAAATAGTCGCGTCTTAAAAATCCGCCTTTAGTCAAGAATTGAAAACGTACACCTGCAAATGAGCTAACGAAAGAACGAGTGGAAATTGCAAATAAGAGGGAAGTTCTTTGTAGGAGTTTTGAACTGAAGTTTGTACGCCGTGTCCTGGTACCCGTTTCACCTTCTCTTGCTCAAATCCTTTGGTTACACTAAACGAACCCGTCTAATTTAATTAAATGACGTTATTTTAAAAGTTAATATTTGGTTGAAGTACCTTACAGTTCGTGCTACGATGTGAGATTTACATACGGTTGTTACACGTGTTGGACGTAATTCAAAGTATTTTCTCCATTTGTGGGGATAGCGGTGTTTTTAGATGAACAATTGTTTTTTACATTTTTTGTTTTAGCATAAATATATGCTGATGGGCTATGCATAAATTTGTATTGCGTGACCATATTCGCGTCATAAATGTCACGTTAACGGGAGTGCGGATGATGGGTTGTGTTAATTTAGGTTAGGGATGGGTTAGGGTTACAGTAAGGTTAAGGTTACTTGCTAGGTACGGATTATCTGCATTTATTGTTACAACTCCACACTACACTGAATATATCTTTTCGAAAATGTGGTTAGTTAGAGTCACGTTGGGTAGGGATTTTATGCACTTTTCTTATAGTTAATACATTCCCCCCCCCAAAGTTGGGTTAGGGTTAGGGAAGGTTAGATTATGTCAGGTAGGTTAAATTGTTGTTAAGTAGTGCTAGGGTTAGATACAAGTTAGGGTTAGGTATAGGTGTCCTTAATTTAATGTTTCTCTGTGATTTCCAGATATGCTAGAGCGATGCTCGAATTTACGTAACATTGAGCGCGGCGAAACAGTTAGGTTAGGTAGGTTTAAGTTTAGAATAAGGTAATGGTTACGTCATGTCCGAATTAAATGGATTTTTTCTTATAACTCCTAACTATAATGAATAATGTTTTTCGTCCAACGTTAGGTTTGGTATAGTCACGTTAGGGTTAAGGTTAGGGTTAGGGAAAGGTTAGGCTTTGTAAGATAATTTTTTACTTAGAGGTAGGTTATGTAGGATTATGGTTAAAAACGAGTTAGGTTAAAAAATTACTCATAATTCAATGTTTCTATGTGGAGAAAATATTCAAGTGCAAAGCGCAAATTTACGAAAAATTTATCACCGTAGAGTGGGCATTGGTTGGGTTAGGTTATGTTAGGAGTTGTTAGGTCAGGCAGGGTAGCATTTAAGGTAGGTTATGGTTCCGTAAGGAACAATTTATCTGCATTAATTCTTACAATTCCCAATAAGATTAAATATATATTTTCTCAAAATTTTGGTAAGGTAGGGTTAAGATTACGTTAGAGAGGGATGAATATTTTCTTACAATTCACAACTGTAATGATTGCATTATTTTCTTCCAAGGTTATGTCATGAAGGGTTAGGATTAGGCTAGGTAGAATTATGGTTAGGGTCAAGTTAGGTTTCGGTTAAGTAATTATCCGTTATTCAATGTTTCTCTGTGACGCGGAGTTTACGGTTATGGACGGGTTACGTTACGTAGAGATTATATGCATTTTTTACAACCCCAACTAAAATGATAGATTTTTCTAAACTTAAGACATGGAGACATGTTATAAGAAAATTATTATAAGACTAACTATTTAACGTACTTCTAAAGCTGGAAATCTCATGGTAAAAGTTTCTCTTTGTGCACAAAACATAGTAGCTAATAAATAATAAAAGAGGAACTGATAATAACGTATTTTTTGGTATGAAAAACTGCCACTACCCCCCTTAGTAAGTATAAAAATCGTAGATAAAAATTGAAAACCTAGAGGGAAAAGTATTCATTTCTTACAATAAATATTATTTCATCAATAGTTAATTACGGATCGTAAAAATACCGATAAAATGGAGAACTCCTTTAAAAACATACGCTCGTCGTTTTCAGGTTGTAGTGATCTACTGCACTAGTTGAATCACGTATCTCCGTAATTGCTTTGGGCAGTCCGATTGCATTTGAATTGGAAATAACTAACTTGATTAATTATTGGGCCGATTAATAATTCAACTTTTTACGTGGCCCGGCCCCAGGAAAACTTATCGATCGTCCGATCGAGAAATGAAATGGTAAATTAAATCCTGCTTGGGTTTACTGCGTCGTGGTCGGAAATTCGTGAATAGCTTGGCGTTTTGGGAAAGTTTCCCGTGGGAAACAGTATGATGCAGTTATAACACCAAAAGAGGTTTTCCATTCTAAAGATGTTCCAGGACCAATTCATTCCGAGTTAGCAACGGTCCGACGGTTTGAGGCAATGGCCGTATTGAGGATTCGACGAAGGCGTCGACTGTGGCGGAGGGGGTGCCATCTAGAGGACAAAGGGTTTAAGGGTGAAGGGCTTCACAAAGTCCATCTCACCGGCTTTTGTCGTCAAATTAATGGAACAAGCAGCTCCATTATCACTATTGATTAAATCCAAAACTGTAGTGGCCAGAAATGTCCTTTAGAAAACGCGCCCCGGAGACTGCGAACGGTTTCGTCGAAGGTGTTAATTATTTGTGTGGACCGGCTCACAAACAAATAGAAAGCGGGTAAAATAATCAACTGTATCACAACAAAATAGTGCAAACATTCTTCCAAATATCAAAGGTGTAAATGATAGTGCGCGCTTGAAACGTTTGGACGAGTAAACACAAACAGATAAAGAAAACACAAACATCGTTAATTAATTCATTTAATGATTTGTAATTGTGTGTAAATATTGTCCTGCTGATGAAGCGGGGTGGATCTCACTTCATGTAAAAATATTGAATGCCACGGGAAAGAAAAGGGAAAAAGAAAAAAGGGGTGGAAACATGATGATTAGTGAGCCGGTCAAAAGGCGAAGAAGGCTCCCCTTGAACCTAATCTTCTAATAATGCGAACCCTTCTTTCTCCCTCTTAATACAACCATGGGAAAATGTGTCTTTCCCTTCCTACATGCCGTTGGAAGAAAATCAAAAGCAAAAACTTCCGGGAAAAGAATTCCACTCTTCCAACGGCCAGGGGGTGTTATTAACAAAAAACCGCCACGTCT